AAAGTTCTTTTTACAATCGTATTCAAACCAATTTTGAGTTCTCGGAAAAGATCCGAAATTCGTCTGTGCCAATTTTCACGTGCGATGCATTCAGGTGTTTCCGCACCTGTTCCCAGACCCATTCAGAAGAGCAAACTGCAACCTCCATATGCTTGGCTTATCCGTCTCGGCTGCCAGGTGTGAGAAACTGTTTTCCCTCAGCCGTTGCATGCTTGTGAAGTCCGGCCTGGAAAGATTGCTTCCAAGTGCTTCCGCGGCCAGGGCGCCAGAGCTTCATGGCTCATATACGCACCCTGTCGGACAAAGCGCGCTGCTTGAGTGAACGCCTGCGCGTCGGCGTCCAGCAGGCGCGGCGTTCTGCCATCGGGGGTCGAAGTACGTCGCTGGAAATCGGCTTCTCCTTCCCCAGGCCTCTGCCGGAAGTTCGAGGCCCAGGCACACACTCGCAGTGTCTGAAAGATCTGACCTGTAAGTCGTCAATTTCAGCTCTGGTTGCTGAATGATCTTGGCAGATTTGCCGAGGAATTCTTTGACAAGCACTGGGACGTCCCCAGGGGCAACGCCCGCAAAAAGAACTTAATGTGGGCGTAGCTTGTGAAGGAGTTCTTCAACTCTCACTATGTATAACTTGGCAAGTGAACACTTGGTCGAGCCACAACTGTCATCTATCCAAAAACATCGTCTCCGGGGCCGGCGTTTGTGGTGCGGCCACGCAGCTACCAGCGTCGGCCTCGGCCTTTCCCACGGCCGCGGCCTCTACCTCAATCGTCTTGGCCCCTTTTTGCTGCTGGCTCCTGCGCCCGATCCTCCTTCTGCGCGCGTGTCTCTTCTCGTTGGCCAAGTAGCGCACACGATATCTCGAATCGGCTCTCGACGAAGGCTTCAATGAGCACCCTGTTCTGGCACTCGTAGAAGCCCTCAGCGTGCCGGGGCATTCCGTGGTCCTGTCTGGGGACCTCCCTGTCGCGTGTACTGCACGGCGATCGGAGTCCCAGGAGTTCGGGCGACCCCGCGGAGCAGCCTGGCTCGGCTTCGCTGAGCCGCTCCTGCTCCGGGGTTTCCTCGGCGACTTGTGGCCGCCCCGCCGCCAGAGCCCCTTCAAGTGCTCATGGATCATGTCGGCCTGTTTCTTGTACAAATAGTGCATGACGGCACCAGGAGCTGCATTACTTACATTGCCCCTGCCAGAAGAGATATTGGCCATGGCAACTATGGTGTGCAAGTCGGCGCTCTCGAATAACGCCTGGGCTTCCTCCAACTGTTAGCAAAGGTCTCCTCATCGCGCTTCGCCTTGAAATACTTCATCTCGCTCCCCGCGAGGGTTTACGCAGCATCACGGTAGTGTAATGGCTTGCCTTATTCGTGAAGAACTGCTTCTCTACTTCGATGTAGTATCTCCCGCGTTCTGCCCAGTATGCCTGGAGCCAAGAGCTCCACTGTCAACTCCTGGACAACGACCGGCAATGAGAGTTCTCCGTGTATGACGTGATGGTGCCATAAACGTGAGCATTCACAAAACATTGGCACTGCTTGGCATGCTGCTCCCGGAATGTCGTCCATGCTTTCGCGATGTCGTTCTCTCCGAGATCATCCAGCTGCGCTTCGGACTCAAAGTCGGTAAGCCTGGCCATTGGTATGTTTAAGTTCGGCCACTGTCGCTGCACTTTCGCCTCGTCGCTGAAACGAATATGCAGATCCTCCTTCCCGACATCCGTGCTGGTTTTGTGATTGTTGAATAGTTCGGCTCCTTCCTGGAGCTTCCCACGCTACTCCAGCAATTATGTTCCAGATGCCACCGTCTAGGACTTTGAATATCTTGTCGGGCCCGCTGATGTAGTGCCCGAACTGGTCCTCGGTCATGCCTCCTTGCAGCGCAGGGGGACGCTTCTCGGCGGACGCGTCCCGCGTCCGTGGCTTCTCGCAGTCGCAGGGCGCCGAGGCTTAGCCGTTTTTGTTACCAGATCCGTTTCGCCGTTTTTTTGCCGGTTCCGACGCCGTTTTTTTACCGGTTCCGTCGCCGTTATTTTACGGGTTCCCGCTCGGATTCCAATCCTGGAGCCGTTTCTGCTGCCGTTTCCGGTCGCCTTTTTTTGCCGTTTCCAGTTCAAGGGGCATTTTTTCGGAAACGGTGAAAAAACGGCCCTGCCGTTTCCGGGGCCCACTAAGCGCCGTGGTGAGCCTGGATTGAGCCTGTGAGTCGCCCAATGCTCTGGCTCATCACTTGCTGCAGGCTTGCTATCTGGCCATGTAGTTCCAAGACCTGCCCCCGGAGTGGATTAGCCAGAGCATTGGCCAGAGGCTGGAGCGCCGCCTGGAAGCCGTCGTTGGATCCGGCACCGCCTGCGCGCGTGCCAGCATGACTGCGTGGGAGAGCCATCGGGACCTCAAGAACGAGTTCTGCAACTGGTACGGTGCGGAATCGAGGCAGATCTGCGTCTACACGCAATGACTTCTTTCCTAGACTCAACGCGTGTACAGAGCAACGTGCGTGCTGCTAGCACGGCCTTCTGTGGGGCCTCTGAGGCAAATGGCCGCGGAGGTGGGGAAACGCTGCTTCTGCAAACCCGTCTCTCCCGCCTGTGCTAAAACTGTGTGCGCAGCTATCCTGCCAGAAACGGAATTCGGACCGATCTTCACATGATGCTCGAAGGTATCACGCAATGGTCAGAGACTGGGAAGGGGGACAAATCCTGCCCCCCCCTCACATACAGTGCTCAGATGGAACATCAGACGTTCTTATGGCTACCGGTAGCCTCCAGGAGGCCCATGAAGGAAGAAAGACGCCAGGGAGGGCCGTCCCCGTCTCGACGTCGCGCGGTGAGCGGGAGCGGGAGGAGTGGGGGCCAGAGTGGGCGCGGGAGTAGGAGGAGGAGGAGGAAGAGGAGGAGAAAGAGGAGGAGGAGGAGGAGGAGGAGGGGGGAGGAGGACGAGGGAGGAGGGAGGGAGGAGGAGGGAGGAGGAGGACGAGGGAGGAGGGAGGGAGGGAGGAGGGAGGGAGGAGGAGGAGGAGGAGGAGGAGGAGGAGGAGGAGGAGGAGGAGGAGGAGGGAGGAGGAGGAGGAGGAGGAGGAGGAGGAGGAGGAGGGGAGGAGGAGTCTGGTGTTGTCGAAGCTTCTGTACAATACACACGGCAGAGTGCTGAAGTCTCGTGAGGTGCGCGTGCCCGATGATGTGCACATGCTTGTTGCGCGTCGCATGTGTGATCGCGTGAATTTCGACGGAACGGCGGGTTCGGACATTCATGCCCGGGAGCATGCTGGCATGGTGTCCATAGGTTGCATACTGTTGCAGAAGAGGTCGTTGTACCGTGCTAGTCTTCTCCGCTCCGATACTCATGCGTTGCTTTCTTTGCTGTCTCAATGGCGTGACAGAGAGGACGGGCCCCGTCAAGTGATTGAGGGCGGACTTGTCATCCTGCTACAGAGTGTCCACGGCGGCCCGAAATTGCCTACCTGACCCTGCCGTGGATTCGGGTTGACAGTGGCAGCAGTGGAAGGACATCGTTCATGGTATTCGTTTCTTTGCGTGTGTGTGATGCGCCTCGTGACACCATGAGCAGTCGTGGATTTGCCTCCCATTCTTGCATGTGTTGCACACGTTGTTTTGCCACGCGCCAGGCCATGTTCACGCACGCTCGGGTCAAGCATAGCATGCGCACTGATCGGCGCTGTATGCTGACGAAGACGGAGTGTGCAAAGCGTGCCACAAACAGTTCTCGACTCCACTCTATCTCATATGACACTCGTCGAACCCTCATCGGACCGCCTGCTGGCTGTGGGTCATCGCCAACACCTCACCGATGGATGCCGATAGGATAGCGCATTTAGACGCTGCAGACACACCCGCGTACAAAGCTGCGAGAAAGTGTGGCCACCCGCGACCGCTAACGGCAGGCCCTGTCAAGCAGGTCCTCGGCGGCGAATTAATCGTCTCGTCACATTTGCGTCCTCTGATGAGTTTGCGCCCACAAAGGGAGGAGGAGGAAGGAGGGAGGAGGGAGGAGGGAGGAGGAGGGAGGAGGAGGGAGGAGGGGAGGGGGGGGGGGGGGGGGCGAACTCGACGTGCCGTCCGCGCAGAGCGGCCCTCGACACAGCGGCGCTCGGCATCTGCGAGGGGGCGCGCCCGAGAGGTGCGCAGCAGCGGGAGGGAACGGCGCGATGAGGCGGCGGCGCGCCGGTGACCCACAGCCAAGGCTCGGTGGCGAGCGAGGGGGGGAAGTGAGAAGGAAAAGGCCTTCTCAGAAGGCGGCGGGACTTCTAACAAGCCCCCCTGGCCTTCGCAGAAGTTCTCCGTGTCCTCGTGGAAGGCTTAGAAAACCTTTCGGAAGGCCGGGAGGCTTCCGAGCCTTCTGAGAGGCCTTCTCCTTCTCGCTTCCCCCCTCGCTCGCCGCCGACAGGTGGCGTCGCTGAAGTCTGCCTGTGCGGCCATCGTGCTGCTGTGAAGCGCTCGACAGGGACCCTTGGGAGCTTCGCGGTGCGGTGCGCAGCAAGGCGTGCAAACACCAACGCGCTGCCCCCAGCGCAGGCCCTTCCCCGCACACGAGTTCGGAGGGAAGGACTGGGGGAAGGGGAGCGGAGAAGGGGCGACAGGCCCCGCTGACCCACAGAGCCCTCAGGAACGCCGAACAGGGAACGGAGGGGCCTTTCTGGCCACGTTGAGCCTCGGTCACGGACGGGCCCCCCGCCCTGGATGGAGGGAGCGGCCCGAAAACAGGAGCCCCTCCCGAGCCCACAGTGGTTCTTGTTCCGGCGTCTCTACGGTCGGGAACTTTTGGACAGCGTGTCGCCCTGGCGGCCCCGGCGATACGCTAGGCCATGCGAGTGGGTAGCGTGTCGCTCCGCTTCGTGGGCTGGGGGGACGGGAAAATCTCTGCACGTGGACGCCTGGGGACCGCCAAGTGGACAGCGTGTCCTGCAGAAGCGGGGGCAAAAACCAGCGGAGCGAGCCGATGTCCAGCAGGTCCCGACCGTAGACTGTCGTGTGCGGGCCAGGCGCCCGATCCTCTGGGCCGATCTCGGTGACGTCGAAGAGGTCGTACCCGAGGATCTCGCTGGCCTTCTGGATCATCGGCCATGCCCTCGCGTGCTCCTCTCGTGGGCGCGTGGGTCGCCAGCAGCACAAGAGCAGCGGCAGCGGCCCAGTCGGAGGGGAACGCATCCCAGTCTACTCTCCTCCTCCTCCCTACTTCCTCCTCCTCCTCCTCCTTCCTCCTCCTCCTGCCCCGTTCCTGGTTCCTGATGGCAAGAATGTTTACCGAACGCTGCCCCCCCCGGCCGATCGGCCCTTGGGGGGTGATCAAACCAAGACCAAGCGAGTCCTGGAGCACCGCTCCAGGAGTCGACGGCAGGTAGCTGTAATGGGTGAGGGAATCGACAAACAGACAAGAAGAGGAGGGGTAGTAGATACCACGAGGGAGGGGGGAGGAGGGGGGGCCGCCACCCTTCCAGCCAGAGGTAGCATATGCAGTGGCCAGCGCCACTCCCGCCGGCGTGGCAGGTACAAAAGCCTCTCCCCCTGCCCAGAATAACCCCCTACAGGCGCCCACCGGACCTGCGACTGGTACCCTCACCCGCAAAGCAGGCGGAGGGTGCCCAGACCGCAAGGCTGGTGGCCGCCTGGGGTGGTTACAATGGGCGCGGGGGAGGTGTGTGCTTTCCTCGCGGTGGCGCGTCTGAATAGGTGGCGGTGGGCCAGTGCTGACTTGGCAGTGTGGCCGTGCATACAGAACGGGGAAAGGGGGAGGGATGAGATAACCATGTGCAAGGGAGGCCGAGGAAGGTGGTGAGCCGTCTACGCGATGGGGTGAGACCGACCCTGCTGGGTGCGGGACAAGGCTGGCCCTTCGTTGTCCTAAGGCTTTGCGTTCTCGCTCCCAAGCTCCTCGACAGGATCCGCGGAGGTCACTGGCACGATGACAAGCAAGGAAGTCCCGAAAGACAGAGTGGGTGAGGGAGCAGGCTGGGCGGCGGTTGGGCGGTAGCTGGCTGCGTGGCGCACGCTGCGGCGGGGCAGCCCACGCTCGCCAAAGGGGTGGGTGGATCAAGGGCATCTCCCCAACCCTTAGGAACCCCAACACCGCGACCCCCAGTCCCACCAAGGGGACCCCCAACCACCGAAGTGGCCGAGGGGCCCCGGGGAGACTGGGAGTTCGTTGGGGTCCACCAGGCGTGAGAGGCTTGAGCCACCCAGGCGGTGGCCTCGCTTGTGGTACGCGGTCCGTCCTCCCCAGTAGTCCCCCACACCATCAGTATCCCCCTCTTCATCCTGCATCCTGCTCCCTCATCTCCTCCTCCCTCCTCCCATTGCTCCTCCTCCACCCCCTCCTCCTCCTCCTCCTCATCCGCCTCCTCCTCCTCTTCTTCCTCCTCTTCCTCCTCCTCCTCCTCCTCCTCCTTCCTCCTCCTCCTCCTCCTCCTCTCCTCCTCCTCCTCCTCCTCCCTCCTCCTCCTCCTCCTCCTCCTCTTCTTATTTTCTTATTATTCGTATTATTATTATTATTATTATTATTATTATTATTATTATTCTTATTATTATTATTCTTATTATTATTCTTCTTCTTATTATTCTTATTATTCTTATTATTATTATTCTTCTTCTTATTATTATTATTATTCTTATTCTTCTTATTCTTATTATTATTATTATTATTCTTATTCTTCTTATTATTATTATTCTTCTGATTCTTCTTATTCTTATTATTATTCTTCTTATTCTTCTCATTCTTATTATTATTATTATTATTATTATTATTATTCCTCTTATTCTTCTTCTTATTATTATTAGTATTATTATTATTTAGGATGTTTGGCAAAACTGATGGATCTCCCCGTTTCCAGAACTGGCGCGGGCTTCCGCTTGTGTTCCCCTTGCTCCTGCCCTTGCCTCTTTGCTTTGCCCTTTCCCGCTTCTTCCCCTCTTTCCGCCGCTCGGCGGCTCAAGCCTTTCAAAGGCCAAGCTGGGGGTCGGCCTCAGGTGGCCTAAGGCCGGGCCTCGGGGACGGGGCCGGAAGACCTTCGCCCGAGTCCGGGCGTGAAGGGGGCGCCCGCAGCCATGGAGCCGCGCCTGGCGCCGCGCGGCCGAGTCGCGCAGCTGCGCGGCGGCGGCGAGCCCGGGTGCCGAGCGGCACTGGCTCACGCTAGCCGCGGAGCACCTGGGGGCGGCGGGGCAGCACGCGTGGCGTGGGCGCAGCTCGCCGCCGCCGAGCAGGGAGCCGGGCGCGCGCCAGCGCCGGCTCCCGCTCCAGCCCAGACAAGGGCGGCGAGGCGTGCATGCGCGCTGGGGCCCGTCTGGTTCGTCGTCTTCCTGGAGGTGGTGGGAGTGGTCGGCGCCGAGCTCGCGCACGGGCAGGCCCCCAACGCCGAGGTCTACTACGACGACGAGGTGAACGTGGACATGAAGGAGTTCTGGCTCGACGGGCCCATGGACACCTCTGTGCACGTGGGCGCGCTGCCGGTCGAGGTCCACTCCATCGGCGGGCGCGCTGCTCCAGCAGGGAGCAGTGGAGGGGGCCCGCCGCGCGAGCGCTCGGCGCCGCCGGCTGGCCCACCCCCTCAGGACCCGACCCACACACCCCCCGACCCCCCCGATGGGGATCCATCGTCCTGGATCAGAGGTTGGGGTCTTTTCGGCATCAGCTGGAAGGACATCGGCAATCGCACACACTGGTTTGCCGAGGGGATGGGTGGGGGTACCTTCCGGGCTGCGGGAAGTTCCAGGTCGGCCTTCTCGACCCGCGAGGCAGGAGGCTGGCTGAGCTCGGATGGTGGCTGGGTGCTGTACATGGCGGACCAGATGGGCCTCTCCCTGTTCGGCTCCGCGTGGCCGCTGATCGCCGGGCTCGTGGTTGTCTTCGCCGGCACCGGGGTGGTCGCGCTCCTGGCCCACAGCCTGAGGACGCTCTTCGCACCCTGCAGCTGGGCAGCTTGGACCTGTGGCCTGGTGCTGGCGCGCTGCCCCTGCCCGAGGCGCCGAACGCCTGGCGAGGCTAAGCTCGACAAGCTGGTCCCGCCGGCGGCGCCACCACTCACCGATGTGGTGTGGCACGGGCCGACTACGGGGGCCGACCCGACGACCGACTGGCACCGCAAGAGCATCAAGGAAGGCCGGGGCTCCAAGCGCGGCCAGAAAGACCTCATGATCAGGGTGGACTACCGGGTCGCCCGGCTCAAGCTCAACATGAAGTCGCCGGAACGTATCAATCGCCAAGGATTGTGGGTAGAGTATGACTCTGTGAAGGGTGCCAGCGACAAGAGTTTCCGGCGCGAGTTGGAGCAGCGGGATCCTCGCTGGCTTCACCTGTGCCGTTCTTCCAGCTGTACCGGGTGCAAGGGGCGCGAGAACGAGCTGCACTGCAAGGAGTACGCCGCTCTCGACAATGAAGCTATCATGGACCTCGGTGACTACTCGAAGTTCACACCATGCCGAATCTTCGTCTGGCTCTGGAGGGGGACGGGCCTTGTCCACAAGCTGCTGCTGTACTTCCTCTCGTGGCTCTCGTGTTGTGGTGCATGCCTCTGCCGCCGGCGCCGCCGCCGTCATAAGACTGGCGATGCGGAGCCTGGCGCGCAGGGGTCAGTGGCAAGACTACTTGATCAGGAGTCCGAGTCCGAGGTGGACGCCGAGGACAACCCCTGCGAGGCGGTGAAGGTGGGGCTCATGATCAAGGGCAAGATGCGCCCACTAGCACCCGAGGGCTGTCGGGACGCTGCGCGCGGGGACCCTACTGTGCTGTTGGTGGAGGATGGACGAGCTTCCGACCTCCCACTCCCAAGCGAAGGGAGCGCCACGGCTTGCCTTTGCGAGCATCACCGGCAAATCTACATGGTCCTGCGCTACGGCGAGAAGTGCTCTCAGGTGACGTGCTTCCGGGAAGCGGTGGGCATGGCCTCAGGGGTCCCGCTCTGCCTGCAGCACCTTGGGGGCGATGCAGCCCGTGCGATCCACGACAACCCAGCAGGAGTCGGGTTCTTCGCAGGACTGCGGCGCCGAGCTCGGCGGAGCCCAGCACCACGGAGTCGCACGCCGGAGCGGGCGGCTGCCACCCCGGCCCGGAGTCGCACTCCCGAGCGCTCCGCCCCAACGACCTCTGCTCGAGAGGCGCCCTCCAGCCCTGGCGACCCCGTCCCGGCGCCGGCTGGGCCACCGAGCGTGCGCTTCGAAGCGCCGCCGGTTCCAGATTTCCCCAAGCCGCCTACTCCGCCACCCATGCCCCTCGGGCAGCACTTAATCATACGGGCGAGAGAACATTGGCCAGAAGGAGCGCAGTGGATGATCTTCAGAGGAAAGGCGGTCGACGCCGCTGCGGCCAGCACAGTGGCCGATTACTTCGACGGTGCGTTGGCGCTTGAAGTGGCAGACCCGTCCGGCATCACCATCCGCTTTCTCGTGAAACCTGACGGCGTCATCCGTGCACCGTCCACGGGACCAACCGGGCGCCTGCCCGCAGGGTTCATCGAGGAGATGCTCCACCACGCACCCTTGGGATGCGAGGAGCTCGGCATCAGCGTCTCGGCGACCAACGTACCCGAGAAAGTCTGGCACAAGCTGGCGGCGTGGCATGGTCTACCCGTAGGCGGGCGAGCTGGTCCACTCAGCGAGGCTCGCTGGCGGCTGCTCAAGGAGAAGGTGGTCAACCTAGTCAAGTGGCACCCCGAGGGGGGCGTGGCGCCCAGCCCGAGCTTCGAAGCGCAGGCCACCGAGGCGGACGCCAAGTTGCGCAGCCACTGGCAGCGGCTCGATCGCAGCAGCTCACCCAAGCCGCCCTCAGGGTCAACACGACGGAGCTCTCGTTCGCCGTCAGCCGAGGGCGGGCGGGCAGCCAGCTCCGAGGCACCAGCATCAGGAGAGAGTCATCAAGGAGACGAGGGCGGGGACATGATGGCCTGCTACTTGGAGGAGAAGGCCCGTGGGTCGAGCGACGCAGCAGCGGTGCAGAGTGTGGCTGCCGGCTTCGATGAAGAAGCCCAGCAGGTGCTCGCCGGCCTCATCCGATACGCTCAATACCTCAAGCCCTCAAGCAGCAGACGAACGAACCCGAGGAACTTGCACGACTTGATGGGCACATTGGCAGTTGGGAGGTGCTCCAGCAAGTG